CGCAATCTGTTGAATGTGGAATAAAGAGCATTTTAGTCCCAACAAAACAACATGTCAAATGTTGAAAAATTAAAAAAACGACGAGAAAAAGAACACTCACTTGTCAGCACTGAGTAATTTTTAATCTAACGTTCAGATATAATATTGATAAAATGTTAGATTTTCTCAGATATATTTTCTGCCATAGAATCTAGAATGAAACCTTTTTATTTTTAAATATTCAGTGGTATTAATTTCGGCAAATGACTCATTAAATGGTATTTTTCTTTATATATTCTCAAAAACCAGGACGCAATGTGTTGAATGTGGACTAAAGAGCATTTTGGTCCTAAAAAAACAACATGTAAAATGTTGAAAAATTAAAAAACGACGAGAAAAAGATCAGTCAGTGCTGAGGAATCTTTAATCTAACATTCAGATATAACTATTATAATATTTTGAGATTGTTCTCAGATATATTTGCTGCTATCAAATCTAAAATAAAGACTTTTTTATTTTTAAATATTCAGCGCTATTTTTTTGGCAAATGAGGGTTAGGGTTAGGGTCAGGTTTAGGGTTAGGGTCAGGGTTAAGGTTAGGGTCAGGGTTAGGGTCAGGGTTAGGGTTAGGGTTAGGTAGCATACAATGCGAAAGTGAGTAATTATAACCAAATTCTAACAAACGGGTCAGAAAAGGAGGCTAGTAGCTCATTTAAAATAACCAAAGTTGCCAAAGTGCTGTACAGGTAAAAATAAACATAAAAAGCGAACATAATTTACATAAATATAAGTCATTTTAATGAAAAATAAAGAGGTAAAAAAAAAAGGTGCTCTACCTCAACCTAAGGTTAAAATGTTAAAAGCCATGTCAAATAAATGAGTTTTTAAAGAGGATTTAAACACCTCTATGGTCTGGGCAGATCTTATAAAAAGCGAACATAATTTACATAAATATAAGTAATTTTAATGAAACATAAAGAGGTTAAAAAAAGGTGCTCTACCTCAACCTAAGGTTAAAATGTTAAAAGCCACGTCAAATAAATTAGTTTTTAAAGAGGATTTAAACACCTCTACGGTCTGGGCAGATCTTATATTAAAAGGCTGTTCCAGAGCTTTGGGGCAGAAAAGGCAACATTGATCCACCCCCCCCCTCTGCTCTGGGCCTCATTATCCGATGTCTTCGGTCAAGCTGCTCACAAAGATCCATCAAAGCTAAACGACTCGAAAACGTGTTTGTTTGCTTTTTCTCTGTGGTCGATTATGTGGGAGTTCACAAAGATTTGGTGTCTGGTTTTCTCTGTAAATGTCAGGGGGGGTGGATCTTGGAGGGAGGAATCAGGCGCGGAGATGCAGAAAACAGGGTTTATTCTAACAAAAACAGGTTTAAAAAAACAGGGCTGTGGCAAAACTATGAGCAAAGTAACAAAGCAAGTTTTAACAAAACTGTAAAAAAAAAAAGTATCAAAACAAGACTGTGGCCAAAGTACAAACGAGATTAACATGGCTATGGTCAAAACACGGCTAGGGCAAAGTAACAAAATAAAGATTAACAAAACTGTGGCAAGGCTGTGGTCGATTATGTGGGAGTTTACAAAGATTTGGTGTCTGGTTTTCCCTGTAAATGTCAGGGGGGGGGGATCTTGGAGGGAGAAATCAGGCGCGGAGATGCAGAAAACAGGGTTTTATTGTAACAAAAACTGGTTCAAAAACAGGGCTGTGGCAAAACTATGAGCAAAGTAACAAAGCAAGGTTAACAAAACTGTGTCAAAACAAGACTGTGGCACAAGTACAAACGAGATTAACATGGCTATGGTCAAACAAGGCTGTGGCAAAGTAACAAAATAAAGATTAACCAAACTGTGGCAAGGCTGTGACCAAAAACATGGCTATGGCAATAAGGAAAACAAGACTCAGTCGCGGAGATGCAAAAACAAGGGTTTTATTTTCAACAAAAACACACTCAAAAGGCTGTGAGAAAACTATGGACAAAGTAACAAAGCAAGATTAACATGACTCTGGAAAAACATGGCTGTGACAAAAACGTGGCTATGGCAAAGTACAAACAAGATTAACATGACTCTGGAAAAACGTGGCTGTGACAAAAACGTGGCTATGGCAAAGTACAAACAAGATTAACATGGCTGTGGCAAAAACATGGCTGTGACAAAAACATGGCTGTGACACAAACGTTGCTATGGCAAAGTACAAACAAGATTAACATGGCTGTGGCAAAAACATGGCTGTGACAAAAACATGGCTATGGCAAAAACGTGGCTATGGCAAAGTACAAACAAGATTAACATGACTCTGGAAAAACATGGCTGTGACAAAAACGTGGCTATGGCAAAAACGTAGCTATGGCAAAGTACAAACAAGATTTACATGGCTGTGGCAAAAACAAAGGCTATGGCAATAAAGTAAACTAGGCTATGGCATGGCTGTGACAAAAATCAAACTTGACAGGGCGAGGGGTGACGAAAAGTGACGAAAAGTGACGAAAAGTGACGAAAAGTGACGAAAAGTGACGAAGGACAAAAACACACTGGCACAGGACATGCGAAACGAGGACTATTTAAACACATGAGGGAGGGGAACCCCAGGTGTACACAATAGGTAATCAAGACATGACGAGACACCAGACATTCCCCCAGACGTGACACCATCTAAATTCTTTCCCAAGTTATCAAAAGATCTGTAATCTTTCTAGAGGAAAATGTACAAAACTGTGCTTTTTTTTTTTTGTCTCCATGCGTCATTAAATGTGACAGCTCCTTATTTAGATTTGCTGCTCAATAGAAAACAATGGAAGTTGAAAGTACAGTGCGACAGTTATGGTTTCTCCCACGGTTCCTGAACGCAACCCTGATGTCACGACTGATAAAAGCTCCAAAAACTCCACAGAGCAGTTTGATAATTGGGGAAAAATCGGCCTTTTCTGGTTTCCTTTGTCCCTGTTTGAAAGACTGGGCCGATAGTTCGGGAATTTTGCTGGTTCGCCCACATCCAAGTCAGCCATTTTGATTAGGTCACCGATAGGAAGTAAATGTGATTTCATAAGGTTCAGAGGTGGAAGTTAACGCTCTTTTCTTCTCTCCTAGAGCCGGTTGCTTCACACCATGAACAAGATGAAGAACTTTAAGAGACGTTTCTCGTTGTCGGTCCCTCGTACGGAGACCATCGAGGAGACCGAGTTTACCGAGCAAATCAACCAGCTCAACATGAGGCACACTCAGGGTAAGACCCCTTTTATTTCCATCACATTCAGCATTGGCTGTCCGGGTAAAAGGCTA